CTCTAAAATTAAATAAATCACTAAAAATTACAACATCACACTTAAATATAATATCAGACAGAGAAAAAAATGAACAATTGTCACTCTACTTATGAGAAAATTTTAATTTATAAAAAATAAGTATATTAAATTTTTATCACAAAAATATACTTTTTTAAAAATTATTATATTTTTAATAAAAAATTATAAAATATTTTATTGCCCCCACTTAACAATTTTTCTGGATCCGTCACTTATGTAGGTGAAAATTAAACTATAAAAGAAGAAATTAAATATCTATTAATAACGCAAATCACATAGTGAATATGAAAAATATGTTGAATAGTAATAAAATAGTCTTTTTTGGTAAATTTTTCAAGATGAATAAAATATAAAAAGAAGGTAATACCCAAATCTTATTGCAATCATGCACAACTTTTTAAGTTGTTATTAAATTTCATCACCATCAATCTACCATTTATAGAGAATATAAAAAAAAAATGGTGTAAAAATCGATTCTACAAAAAAACTAATAGAATACAACTTTGGGTAGTAAGTAAAGAAAGAGAACATTGAAAAATTATTCATGCACTAACAAAAGGCTCATGAAAAGAAAAAAAATAAAAATGAAAATGAAAACATAATTGACTTTATAAACTATTAAAAACGTAATATATTTAATTCACATCATTAAACTTATTCAAAATTAATAATTTAATTTTAAAACAAATTGGAAATATTTGAATTCTGAAAGACATAAGAGTTTTTTTTTTAATTTAAAAAAAAGTAAGTTCAGACTGTATAATTTTAAGTGAAATTTTTTTTAGAAAAGTATTCTACTTCTAATAATATATATAGATATACTTATACATATTTTTACTTTTAATAATATATATAGATAAAGATATACGTATAGATATTTTCATATCAAACAAATTCAATGGTTTAAAGGTAGAGTACTTTTAGTCGAAAATAAAAGTGAAGAATTCAAATTTCATCTTTATCGTATAAACACCACATCATCTATCATATTATTTTTCAACGCCGCATAGATAAAATCCTTTATTTATTTTTTTTATATATATTTGATTAGTTGAAAATTGAGAGGACCACAATTGCTTAGTTGGAATGGAGACTAAATCTAAAAATGACTGCGACTAACATAATGGTTGAAGTTGGGAAGGGGTTGGAATAGTAAAAAATACGTGGAATTAGTTTCGATTTTCATTGGGATTATTTTAATAATTTTTCCTATTTTTATTGAAAAAAAATAACTAAATCTAAAAAGAGCAGTTAAGTCTACTTTATTTATTATGATCTATTGAACCAATCTAGCTTATTTTTTAATTGGTTTAAATTGGATCGATGAATTTGGTTTGCTTCATGATCACTCAAAATATGTAATCCCTCCAATACCAAAAATTTGCAATAAGAAAGAGATACACACAAGATGTTAAATGGTTAAAAAGAATTAACACTCGACCTCACTTTAAGTGTTTCTCTCTCTTCTTCAGAAAATTTTCATTACCGGATATGAGACAAAGTCGATCCCTCGTGTAACTGAGTCTTGATTAACGAGTAAATAATTGCAGCAAATAGTGTGTCCAAGAGAAACATTCGTAAAGGTTATGATGTGACTGATAGAAAATATTACCTTGTTGAAGTGTTTCACACACTGAAATTGAAAAGGGTAAACACAACGGAGTTGGTGTAATAGCTAAATGCCTAAATCCTCCCACTAATACGAAATTTCTTTTGTGGTGCAAACGTTGGGTGAGATACGCCAACCAGGACCAAGTCAATTTGGACACTGCTTAAACCTCAATCAATCGCAAACTATTAACTATTCCATGATTCACTCATCCATCTAAAAGATACCAAGGAAAGAAAACAAAGTGATATTCATTAATTCTTTTATAATATATGTATATATATCTGAAAGAAAGTGATAGTTAGAAGATGAAAATGCATAGAAATGATTGATTGTGGAGCCTGGAAGATTATTTGGTGGTGAAGAATGTTGAGTAATAATAACAAGGTATATATTGAGTGTTGTAGTTCAGTTTCTTGGCTGAGGGGTTTGGTTTGTGCGTAGTGATTGTGTTAATTACGTTGAAATGATAGCGAATCGAGTATAATATGAAGGAATTGGTAGGGTGTTACGTTGTTTCGAGATAACACTTTCATTAGCAAGCAAGTGACAATTGATTAGGAGATCCATTATTTAACTTATTAATTAGTGTCTGTGTGCCTCTCTTACGTGGACAGAAATAAAAAAAGCCAAACCTTTTGCCTTGCCTTCTTAAATACTAATAAATGCCAACATTTAAAAGGGATTTCCATAATGGCAATAATAATGACCATAATTATGCTGTGGGCACACATATAACTAACTTCCCGACTTTAATAATAAAAAATCAAAATAAAATAAAATAAACTCAGTTCTAGAAAATTTCTACAACATTCTTTTATCTTTTTTTAATAGAAAAGTTATATTATGATATGAAAATACCACCTCCTTTCTAAATCTTTTGTGTTATTTCAATAGTTTTTTTTTTCAGGATAATTATTTTATTCAATGCATTGGAATGATAATTAGAGACCAGTAAATATTGTATGAGAGTATTCTTCAGTAATAAGCAAAAAAGTTTTCATAATTATAAAAAAAATGTTCTGTAAAATTTAATAACTTGATTATCATATTATATAAAATAAGATTTATTAAAGATTTAATAATTTAAATGAATAGTTTAATCATAATATATACTTATATTAATAGCGTTGTCTATTATAATTAAATCAAATATCTTATTTTTATCTGTTAAAAATTAATAAACTTTTGAAAAGAAAATGAATAATGTAATATGCATGTTATGTGATATTTACCTGCGTAACGAAATATTCTTTTATAATATATAATATAAATATAATAAATTTATAGATACTTAATAGATACACAAGTAGAAGACAAAATTTCATTCCACTTAATGGATGCCTATAGAATGAGTGTGACATAATTTTATTCCACACTGATGGAAGCTATTGCTACTATTTCTCACCTCACCTAATTATCATCTTTATATATTACACAGTTTATTTTCAAATATAAAATGTGTTGAATCAAAATTATTATTCACCTAAAGAAAACATATGTAGGTGTAAACTCCTGCAGAAGCATTTGCGACAAAGAAAAAGAACCTTAAATTTTCAATAGTTTAAATTTGTAGAGTATGTTTTAAAAAAATTTAGGGACAAACATTATCAAAATAAATAAATTGAGAATAATTATGATTTGTTTTCACAATAAAATTTTATACTCATCTTATATATGTTTTAGCTTTTCTATTTTTTTTATCACATCGTTTGTATGACTTTGTTTAAACAAACTTTTCTAAAAATTTTACATAAAAAATTAAATTACACTTTTATTCTTTTATACAATTCAATTGAAATCTTAGTTTCTCAAGTTTATAAAATTTATAATTTTGTTCTGAGCATTATTTATTAAATTAAGTAAATGATGTGATAATTATTATTTAATAACATTTTACTTAAATTATACTTAATTATATTTTTACTAATAAAATGATAAAAATAAATTAAATTATATTTTTAATGATTTATCATTTTTATTCATTTTGATCTTTTATTTTTTAAAATGTTCATGCATTTTGATCTTTTATATCTTTAAATTAAGTCAATTTGGTGTTTTTGAATTCTTTTTTGATTAATTTAAAACTTAAAATTTGTCTTATTAGATCTACTTATATAAAAATTATTGAATATAATTAAAGTTTAAACCAAAAGTATTATATACATGGTAAAAATATAAAATTAAAAAAAAATATAATTTTATATTATTTTCTAGTTATTTCACAATTTTTATTATGTTTATAACTCTTTTGAATTAAAATATCAAGTATATTTTCATATGAGTGAATCTAATGTTACAAGTTTTAAGTTTTCAATAGTCAAAAATTGATTTGAAATCTTGTCACAAAATTGAAAATAATTATTATTTTAAAATAACCAAATTAATCTAAATATAAAAAATAAATATAAATAATAAGATAAATGACCAAATTATAATTCAATTATAAAAATAAATTAAAATTTTTTAAAATGAAGATCAAAATTAAAATTTAAACTAAATATTATAAAATATCAATTATCACATCATTCATTTAAAGTTAGATCATAATCAATATTATAATTTTAATAGTATTTAACAATTGAAACAAATTTATTAAATTTGAGACTAAAATTGTAAATTTAACATTGAGTGAACAAAATCACAAATTGAATATTATAGCAAGATTAAAATTGTAATTTAGTCAAAATAAAATGATTTTTTAATAAAAAAATATTTGTTTTCTACGTGTGTAAACAATTATTTTTTAATTGCAACATGAATATTTCCATACTTCAATATTTACACCTACCTTAATTATATATAAAAAAAAATGTCTACACCTACCTTAAACCCTTATTTATTTTTTAATGATATTTATCATTTTTTTTTATCTCTTTTAATTGTGTCACTTTCTTCTTACAGAGGGTGTATTGCCAAAAACACGTGCTCTAGAGAAAACATTGGAAATATAGAAAAATGAGAATTTGAATAGGAGAAAATATGAGAAAGTCAAACATACTGAATTTATAACTTCAACACACGTATCTGATTAAATAAGTTTACAAATTCTTCATGACGGTATATGACACCTTGGGCAATGAAGCCAAGTTTGAGGTTGGTTTGCTAAAAAGCAATAAACAAACCCCATTTTGCACGTGCCGTATCCTACAAGAGACCATGAGATGCAGACACACCAGAGCCGTCTATGACTCTCTCACCCACAAAGCTGCCGTGACAAGGATAAGGATCATGTTTTTTAATCATAACCTTTTTAGATCATTAATATAAATTTTGTTAGATAATAAATAATAAAACATTTTTTTCAACAAAATGGTAGAAGATTAAAAAGGTGTCAAAAATTACATATAAAAATCATTTTGTCTTTGCCACCTCTTGTGTCTTCCTCAACAATCCAAACCCCAAATAGCACAATCATAGTCTTCACCCTCACCTTTCATTTCTTAGTTTATACGGTGCGTTGCTAATTGAAAATCTACATCATGTAAAGTATATTATTAATTATATCAAGAAAATATACGTAACGAAAATAACACTCAAAAATATTATTTGATTGCCATTTTTTAGTCTGCAAAATATTCACTTTCTTTCGATATGTGAAATTGAATAGTAGCTGGACAAGGTTGAAAAGGGCAATGAATCATGATAGTTGTTTGTTGAAGCGGGGAGGCCAAGTAAAGCAACCTCGGATGTTTGCGTCTCTGTTCTCTCCTCTGTTCCATTTTTGAGTTGAAAACAATATTCAGATATTTCTCTCGGTGAGACCCCTTTGATTGAATTGTGTCATCTAAGTTTCTGTGTTATTCACCTTTCGAGTTTCAAAGATGCTGTGTCGCTATATGGATGCAGAGTACTGTCTCTGTTTCTGATAAGTATGTTTTGGGTCTCTTCAAAATATGGTTTACTCTGTCGCTTTGGCTTATTCCTCGGGCTTCTTTGATTCTTACACTTCAGGAAGCCTTCCCTGTCTTTCCCTTTTTTCACCTAAATGATTATCTAGGCCAAAAAAATAAAGTTTTTAAGGTAGAGATTCCAAATTCCAATCCTTGTTTTCTAGGATACAGTTGTTTTGGGCAATGTCCTTCAATTTATTATTTTTGCATCCACTCCTTTTCTCCTTGCTTTGGTTACCTGGATATTCCTAACTAGGCTAATTTCATATTTCATGGGTTGCTCTTAATTTATCATCTTTTAATTTATATTTACTTTTTTAGAAAAGAAACATTTTGTTACCTGAGAAAAATCCATTTTGTCTTCCTTAAGTTATCCTTCATCATGAAATTTCTCACTTTCCTGGTGGGTTTGTGATATCTTCTCTTTTACTAGAGTCTTGAGGGTTTCTGTTTTTGTGGGTCACAAAAAAATGAAGGAAAAAGTGGATTCCCCGGTTACAGTCCTTGAGGACTATTTCAGGAGCTCAGATTCAGAATCAAGTTCTTCCAAAGAGCCTTCGGCAGATTCCGAGTCTCAGGATCTTTCAAAACCTGCTTCTAGGTGGCATTCATTTCTGCAATTGTTGAGGAGTGGATCAAAGAAACAAATGAACACATTGCATCCTCTCAGTGTCCTCAAGCTCTCCAAAAGAATGAGCACCAGCATGAGGGAGTCCATTCTCCCCAGTTGTTTCATAGATGCAGCTGCTTCACCCTGCAGGTCACCTTGGAAGATTTTTACCCACCATGAGATACAAGTTGCAACCAATTCTTTTAGCCAAGGTATGCAATGTGCCTCACAATTAGATTTCTCCTTAAGCAACATTGAATTGCTTTGCTTGGTCTAAATTTTGTATTCAATTTTTATACTGCAAATCAATTAGAAATTATTTTAGACATGCCTTTTAAAGTAGTAATGCAAAAGTTAACAATCTTACCATAGCAGGTTTGATTGGATGATAGTATAAAAATTTATTACATTGATAGTGTGTTTAAATTAAATTCTTAAATTTTGAGTTGGTTGGTGCAGAAAATTTGATTGGGAAGGGTGGTTATGCTGAAGTTTACAAAGGGTGTTTGGCAAATGGACAGCTAGTGGCAATTAAAAGGTTAACAAGAGGAACAGCTGATGAAATCATAGGGGACTTCTTATCAGAACTTGGGGTAATGGCACATGTAAACCATCCCAATACTGCTAAACTTGTTGGCTATGGGGTGGATGGTGGAATGTATCTAGTTCTTGAATTGTCTGAAAAAGGGAGCCTAGCTTCAGTTCTTTATGGTAATGGTTAATGGCTTGCACAATTTTTCCCTTTTTTTTTATTTGTTATTGACCCAATTGTTAACGTTTTGTTCAAAATTCTCATTTCTTTGATTCCATTTCAGGTTCTAAGGAAAAACTACAATGGTGTAATAGGCACAAAATTGCATTAGGAACAGCCAAGGGTATATTATATCTTCATGAGGGTTGTCACAGAAGAATTATCCACAGGGATATAAAAGCTGCCAATATCTTGCTTACAGAGGACTTTGAGCCTCAGGTATAAATGAATTATGAATGCCTTGGATTCTCTAGCATAAGTTTGATTCTATAATAATTGATCACCACAATTTCCTTCTGTTTTTTGCATTTTGTATTTATCCCGTGGACAATTTTTTTTTGGTAAGATTCTTCATTATGTGACAGACGAAATTTCCCTGGTTTTTGTCACATCATTAACTCTAGTCCGCACTTCATTTTTATAACGCACTATTTCTAAGTTGTGTACGTAAGTGGACTTAGATATTTCAGGAACAAATTAAAACGTTACGAAATTTTTGCGCAGATTTGTGATTTCGGGCTGGCAAAATGGCTGCCAGAAAATTGGACTCACCACACGGTTTCAAAATTTGAAGGAACTTTCGGGTTTGTTTACTTTCAGAATCACTTTCTGTTAAAAACCTTGTGGCTTTGTATTAACTAAGGTTCCATTTATGAGTGCCACAGTTACCTAGCACCTGAATACTTGCTGCATGGCATAGTAGATGAGAAAACGGACGTATTTGCCTTTGGTGTATTGCTATTAGAATTAGTGAGTGGGAGGCGAGCACTTGATTATTCACAGCAAAGTCTTGTGTTGTGGGTATAGTTGCCTATCTTATTTACACACAAATTTCATTAAATCTTGTTACTCTGTCTAGATTTTGACTTTTCCCTCCTAACAAATTTTCAGGCAAAACCATTGCTCAAAAAGAATGATGTCATGGAGCTTATTGATCCTTCACTAGCAGGTGACTTTGACTCTCGGCAGATGAATCTTATGCTCTTGGCTGCTTCTTTATGCATACATCAGTCCTCAATTCGTCGCCCCTCTATAAGACAGGCACGTTCTTTATAAAACTTTCATTTACCATAGTTTTTTTTCTTCTTTTTTTTTCGGTGATGTGCATAATTTATTAGGTATCTAAAAACTAACAATTATATTAACTTGTATTCGCAAAGTGTGACTTCTGTTAAAAAATATTATTTTACCATGGTAATCGATTTTGAGAATATTAAATTAAGTATCTGTTTTTCTTGATAAACATTATAACCACCATGACTTGATTATCATTTATCTTAATTTAGTAATGTGAACGACATTTTCTTAAAAAAAACGAAATTAAAATTTTAGTAAGATTATAAACTAAATAATTGACTATACAATATTAAGAATTAAATGGAGGTTCTCTTTTAAGGATTAGATGTAATATTAGAAAAAGTAATAAGTAAAGATGTGCGAAGTAATATTCATATCTTCCATATGCATTGTGGTCCACTTTTTCTAGTGGCAGAAGATATAACCCATTAATTTTTCTGTGTCTCTGGAACTTAAAGTGTGTGACCAAGTCCATTATTAACCACGTGACTATGACAAAGTCCATTATTAAGCATGTGATCCTTTGGTGCAGGTTGTACAGCTTCTGAATGGCAACCTTAGCTGCTTTAAGGGCATGAAGAAAACTCGAATGCCCTTCTTTCGAAGAGTGTTCCGGGAAGAACTCCTTGATTCTCAATAGTAACAAAATAGAAATTGCCTCATCAATCTGAAAATTTTGCACTTTGCGGAAGCCCAAAAATAGCACTCTAAAACCTTTCAACCTGTGTATATAATAGTTTTTTTTTTTTTTTTTATGTATAAAAAATGATAATAGTCAAATACTTAGTTACTTGCAATGAAGAAATATTGTATTACCGTGAGTCTTGACTCACATCGCATCAGATTTCTTGTTCCCATCCAAATAGGTCTTCCTAAATTTATAAAGTAATTTAAAAGTAGTTCTTTTCTCCTTTCTCTCCTCTTTTACATAATTACAAATACTTATTTTTTTAGGTGAGAAAAGATCCTAGGTGGAAAGCACAAAAATGAAAGCCACTTTGGATGTAAAAATGTTCTGTTTAAGATTTGGATATCTTACTTGGAAGCAGATGATTGCAAATTTGCTTTGTGTTGCAGACAAAGTGCGAGTGCATAATCTTCGATAATACGCGTGGCAGCTCTTGGAATCAAATCAACTACAGCGCATTACAAACATCATGAATATATGCTCTTAGAATGTGTTTTTAATATAAAAATATCATTATTAAAAAAATATCATGAAGAAACTGAAAAATTAAAATTTTGAGTAATCTAATCCATATACACATTTACGTCGTGGTTTTATAATTTTTAATGAGAAATTTCACTTTGTTCTATCCATCCATTCATATTAATACTAATAAACCTTATTTAAAAATGAGTTTAAAAAATAGAATAATAATTTTAATAAAAACAATTTTTATATATTATATACGAATGACTATTTTATATAAGAATATTTTTAAAAATTATTCTTTGATAGAAGTATTTTTAATTTTTTTAATTTCTTATTAGATTTATTATTTATTTATTATATTTATTTATAAATTAAAATTTAATATTTTAAAAATAAATTATCAATAATTAAAAATAGTATCTTGTCATAATATAAATTATTATTTATCTTAAATTAAAAATATAATGTATATATTTAAATATATAATTTATTATAAAGTTTAGTTAATAAAAATTTAGCTTAGCATTGAGTAAAATAGTAATAATAAAGAAATTATGCGACTTTGTTTAACATGGAATGACACGAGAGGTGATGAACTTTTCTAAAGTATAAAGAATGTATTCTGTATCATATTAAGCTTTTCTATGTTTTAAAATTAAATAATAATAAAAAAAAGAGAGAGAGACAACACTACGTGATGATAGTAATTTTAAAATAAGCAAAATTTGAAAAGAAAAATAAATACTAAAAGAATTAAGAATGAGAAATGGAGGGAGTAGTATAAATTTAAGGACCTGACAATAACGTATTGAAATGACAGGTATAGGATAGGAAAGTAGAAGAATAAGAAATAATCATTGTTTGTTTGTTTGTAAAAGGAAAATAACTAAATAATTTCATAATATACAAAAAAATACACACATACATTTTAAATTTCATTCTTCTAAACACTTTAAACAATAAAGTGCGATAATAATTATTTATTAATAATTTATATAAATTTAATTTTATCATAATTCTTGTTGATTTTTTAATTAATAAATATGAATGCATTATATTTTTTAAAACATACTCTTTCACTTTAAAACAATTAAATTCGTATTTTTTTTAGGTCACTATAATATAAAAGTAATGTATCTACAAATTTTTGTTGATGATTAATATTTGTAGAGTGATTTGATTGAAAAATTTCACTTTTCAACTATTCCTTTTAAATAAAAAAAATCAAACTTAAATCTTATTTATAGAATTTGAATTCAATTTTGCTTAAATTAATGATTTGATATTCATATATTTTATTATAAACTCAATAATAATAATAATAATAATAATAATTATTATTATTATTATTATTATACAAATTTTTCTACACTTTTTACACTTTAATATAGGATGAAAATTAAATACATTTAATATTTTAGAAATATAAATAGTTAATACAAACGTAGTGCTAAGGATTTGCCGAAGAATTTAGAATTATTCTCTTATTACAATTATAGGTTTAAATATGTATTTTTAAATATTTTATTGAGGAGGTAGGTGGGAAAGAAAAGGTTGAGAAGAAAAAAGTATAAATAAAAATTTAACTAAAAAGAAATAATGTAGAAATTAATTTTTTTTGAGGTTGTTTATTTTTAAAAGAAAATTGCATATAAAAATAACATTGTTAAAAATATATGTTTTTAATTATTTTTATAATTAGTAATATCAATACTAATGTTTAGGTGTAATATGAGAGGGAGAAGGACTTTGTTTAACATGGAATGACACGAGAGGTGATGAACTTTTCTAAAGTATAAAGAATGTATTCTGTATCATATTAAGCTTTTCTATGTTTTAAAATTAAATAATAATAAAAAAAAGAGAGAGAGACAACACTACGTGATGATAGTAATTTTAAAATAAGCAAAATTTGAAAAGAAAAATAAATACTAAAAGAATTAAGAATGAGAAATGGAGGGAGTAGTATAAATTTAAGGACCTGACAATAACGTATTGAAATGACAGGTATAGGATAGGAAAGTAGAAGAATAAGAAATAATCATTGTTTGTTTGTTTGTAAAAGGAAAATAACTAAATAATTTCATAATATACAAAAAAATACACACATACATTTTAAATTTCATTCTTCTAAACACTTTAAACAATAAAGTGCGATAATAATTATTTATTAATAATTTATATAAATTTAATTTTATCATAATTCTTGTTGATTTTTTAATTAATAAATATGAATGCATTATATTTTTTAAAACATACTCTTTCACTTTAAAACAATTAAATTCGTATTTTTTTTAGGTCACTATAATATAAAAGTAATGTATCTACAAATTTTTGTTGATGATTAATATTTGTAGAGTGATTTGATTGAAAAATTTCACTTTTCAACTATTCCTTTTAAATAAAAAAAATCAAACTTAAATCTTATTTATAGAATTTGAATTCAATTTTGCTTAAATTAATGATTTGATATTCATATATTTTATTATAAACTCAATAATAATAATAATAATAATAATAATTATTATTATTATTATTATTATACAAATTTTTCTACACTTTTTACACTTTAATATAGGATGAAAATTAAATACATTTAATATTTTAGAAATATAAATAGTTAATACAAACGTAGTGCTAAGGATTTGCCGAAGAATTTAGAATTATTCTCTTATTACAATTATAGGTTTAAATATGTATTTTTAAATATTTTATTGAGGAGGTAGGTGGGAAAGAAAAGGTTGAGAAGAAAAAAGTATAAATAAAAATTTAACTAAAAAGAAATAATGTAGAAATTAATTTTTTTTGAGGTTGTTTATTTTTAAAAGAAAATTGCATATAAAAATAACATTGTTAAAAATATATGTTTTTAATTATTTTTATAATTAGTAATATCAATACTAATGTTTAGGTGTAATATGAGAGGGAGAAGCCATAATAGATTATGAAAATCAGAAGAAAAAAAACTATAATTAATTATATAAATAGAGAAATAGAATAATTGATTTTATTCTTCTTCCTATTCAAGTAGTATGCAATTGTTTAATTTTTTTGTGTGTATTGGGAAAAATAAACTAGATGAACAAAAAGAATTATAAAGGAGAAAGAATATCCTCTCTCACAAACTCAGAACTAAAAATTAAAGAACTCATTCACACAGTATAAATAGTTAAATTCTTAGCCTCCCAACCCATAAGAGCATGACCCACTTTGTTTATATCCCAAGAGATATTCACAAAACAACCTTCTAATCCCAAGCCACCAACCTCTTGATATTGCTAAAAATATCCTAATGCTTGTGAAGATAACTCCTACAATTCAACTCTTGAATCACCGACACCTTCTTAACACAATTTGATTCACAAATTATGTGTCACCAACATGAGTGTCAACACAATTCCAAACCTTTCATTATTGTAAACAATTATGCATGAAGTGGATCACCATTACTCGTTGAGCTTTCAAAACCATTGTTCCAACCTTCCACTACATCCCTCACAACACCTCCAAACCCCATAACTTTTTTGTCACTCAACCAACTGCCATCTACATTCAACTTTAACCACATGTATTCAAGGAGGACCAACACACATTCTCCCCCCAACTCTTCTTCTACTTCAAATATAGGAGATTATCCATAGTAGTTATCTCAATTTGATGCAACATACACTGACTACTCCATCCTTTTTTCTTGGAAAACCATATTGTTGTGAAACCTCCATACCCACCAAAGGACCATTCTCAACCTCATACCATCCCAATGTTGAATGATAGTTGAGAACCAAGTGTCGATATCATTCATCATAAACACCCAAGCAAATATCTAACCCATTTGGAACCATACTTCCTTCGAATTAGCTTAAGGCATGTAACAAAGTTTCTATTGAGCACAAACATCTGGGGCATGCGTCACTAAACACGGGATGTTGAGAGAACCTGAACTGATTTGTAGGTAAAGCCATATGTAATTCTTTCCAAAGAAAGAATTTAACCTTCTCTATATATGTCGTTTCCATAAACCCTTTCATCTGTTATGTTGCAAACAAGATGCCTTAGTTTGAAGAAAATGAAAACCTTAAGCAGTAGTGAAATAACTTGATACATCACCCTTCCACGAAATATGATCCTTGCTACCCTTGACAGAGGGAATGCTAATCTGCTAAAATCGTAGGACCACTCATTAGGAAGTTGAGTGTATAAGAACTTGAAATCCCAATCTCCATACCTCCAACATTGCACCACTATGACTTCCACGTCATGAATATGAACAAACGATACCTATGCCCCTAGTATGTCCGTATCAGACCAATCTTTATACCAAAATAAGGATTTTCCATCACCCAACTGAGGTTTGAATTCTTCTCATATATAAGAAAGAGCCTTAACACTGTTATTCCATATTTGAGACGCTCTAGTTTGTTTCTTAGCATGCAATACCAACTCCCCATGCAAGTACTTATCACATAAAAGACCCACCCACAGCTTCTAATCCAAACGTAAGAGGTCCCAAACCAATTTTCCAAGTAAAGAAATATTCACCTGTCGAGCATCAAGGACACCCAAACCGCCTCCTCCTTTGGTTTTGAGATGGCACTCTAGTTCACCAAAAACTAGAACTGAGTTACACCATCCTTTGCCCATAACAATCTTTGACATGCTTGATTAATCTTGTTACACACTTCTTATGGTAGCCAAAGCGACTACATACAATATATATATGAATAGAAAAAATCACAGAGTTAACAAGGCACAA